ACTTCCCGACGTTGCTTGAAGCGCGTCCACCATAGACTTTGTATGTAAACCTGCTGCTCCTGATGCTGAAATCGCGTTTGGTGTGAATGCACCATATGATGATGAACATTCTTCTGGGTCTTCAAAGTCTCAGCAGTGATAGAATRACTAAAGAAATGACTCTGTAGACATAAGATTTTCTTGAACAGTGAGGGTTTATTCAAAATAACAGAGACTGTACCAAATCAAGAGACTTCGAGCCAGATAAGTGAAGATCTCCTCCGAACTTGTGGGGTCACTCCTTTTTATAACGTTCGACCACACCCTGATGTAAAGAAAGTCCACGTCCCCACTGGGACGAGCTTAACAATGCAGAATTAACATACTTGCAATTCTTTCTATGGTAAAGGAATTAGCTGAAACACACAAACATGTTTACACGTTTTTAAAGGGTGAGCTCAGAATGCCCACATTTCCAATCCTTATAAGGAATTGCTGAAACTTTAACTTAGGAAYGAAACAACTCCTCGACTGGAACACAGAGGCCTCATCAATGACAATGTAATGATGACCTCATATACCTCAAATACCTTTTACAAGTTTTATTAAAATCTGTTTAGTGACTTGTGACAGATGAAGCTGACTCCACTGGTTAAGGTCAAAGTTTTAAATAAAGATCTCACACAACCAGTTAGTGATCAGAGTTTGTATCGGGGATAACTCTCAGCTACTACCACACCAAATGTCAGCTCTGTATCTGTTAAGCTGACTGAGTTGCAGACATGTTTGTTTACCAAGGTTGAAAAGCTGTGGCAGCCATCTTGAATTTAGTTGATTCCTAAAGTTATTTGATTGTATCTTTATTGATTACTTTCTGACGTTTTCAATAATAACAATCCAGTGGTTCATGAGATATTTTGCTAACAGACATAGTTAAATGGTATTGTCCATTTCTTGCTTAGCAGTGAGAGATAAAAAAACAATCAGAGCAAAAACAGAACTAAGTCAGCCACAGAGCTTGAGCTAATGTGAAATATTTTCCCTTTTTCAACTATTGTTTATTTTAACCTTTTTTTACTTTTATGAAAAAAGTTAAAGTATAATTGTTAAAGAAAAACATAAAAAGCACAAACTGTTCAAGAATATAAAGGTATGTCCCATTCATAGAGTATTTGATGACTATTTATAAAATGTTATATTAATTTTATTCTTAATTCCTAAAAAGGAAAATAGTGCTTCTTCAAAAATATTTACATCATAACTGATAGTTAAGATTTGGTAAAGATGCACAGATAAAGTAAAAAAGAAAACAAACAGATTCACTGTTTGGACATTTTTACCATTTGAAGTCTTCAACAGAAAAAAAAAGTCATCATGTTTTCACTCTGACCTGGAATTTTTCTTGGAAAGTGCTCACTTTCTAAAGAAGAGCAGCAGAAACTATTTAAAAAAAATTACCCAGCCTCTTCCTGTCTCATGTTACCGGCTCTGCTGCATACAGGAACCATATGTCCACGACAGCAGCACAAGAGAACTGTGAGCCTCATGGAGCAGAGCCGAGTGGGAGAGGAGGAGGAGGAATTCACAGAAATCCACAGAAATAACAAAACATGTACTGCAGCTGAACTTTACTGGACCTCTGTGAGGTTTCAGTGGAACATTTGAGTTCAAAGAAGAAATCAGTCCAAACATTGCATTAAAACTTGGTACAACAGGTTTAAACTAGAAGTTTGAACAGTGAACTTTAGATATAAACATAAAGTTAACCCGAGAGTTTGAAAACAGAAAACATTGAAAACATGATGCAGTATATTATAGGGTATGATTGAAAATGAAATTAATTTAATCATAACCGCTTGTTTTATTCTAAGAAGCCTTTAGCAAAAAATAGCAGATTTAGTTAACTTAAAATAAAAAAAAAACATTCAATAAAACTATTCAACTATTTAAAACTATTCAATAAAAATCAGACAAAGACACTTTAAAGCAAAGTTAGAAGCAGGTTTATTCAGCGCTGACTGAAAAGAAAAAAAAACTTCAGAGACAACATATTCTGTAATAAATAGAAACATTTCTTTATTTACATGACAAACTTTAAGGGCTTGGAACATAAAAACACAGGAAAAACAGTCTATACATTCATAAACATCATATTTACAAACTGCACTTAAATCAATAACAAAGACTTCAGCAGCAGTTATTTCCCTGGCTGTAGTAGTTTTGAATAACAAATGCAACAAAGTTTCCTTAAAGGGATATTTCAGCCACTTTGAAGTGTGTAAAAGTTACACAAGATAATTACCAAAGTCTAACTGGACTGATGAGCAAATGGATAGTCCAAAAAAACAAACAAACAAACAAACAAACAAACAAACAAACAAACAAACAAACAAACAAAACAAAACAAAAAAATAAAAAATAAAAACACTGGGAGGTCCAGCCATTCTCAGACCTCTTCTGGTTGATTAAAAAAAAAAAAAACAGTGTGCACGTTTTGTTCACTTAGAACAACATTCCATGCTCAAAAAAAATCCATATGTGTTATTTTATGCTAAAAACTTGAGTAAATGCATTTTATTTTGTCCCGAATACACCATTAAGAAAGTTATAAACAGCTAAAGTTCATAAAGAATATGGGGTTATGGCATGAAACCATAAATCGGTAAAAGAACAAAAGATAGCTGTCAGAATTTCTCCAAACTGAGATCATTAAAAAATATACAACATATCTACAACAAGATTATTAACAGTTCAAAACTTTACACAGAAACTCATTTTCAAAATGTCAGAAAAGCCGTAACGTCACCAGGATGCAGCCCTGTGATCATTCTAATGTAAAACATGACATGAATCCACTGAGAGCAATAGCGCCAACATGAACATATAGACATCATCTAAGACACACACACCTGTCCATGAATAAGCGATTATAAACAGCTACTGAAATCTGTGTTTTTAAGCCTCGCTTTTAACAGGAATGCTGCCATAAGGCTACAGTAAGTGGTCCTCAGGGAGCACAGAAAAATATACAGAACGTGAAGCAACAGACCCCACCCTCATTGGTCACACATGACTGCAGCAAACCTATTCATCCTGAGTGCCTGTGTATCCTTTAAAAACAAAAAATCAAAGAAAACATCTTTGTATTTAATAAACCTGGCATAATACATGCGATTTTTACCCATTTTGTCACCTAACTGGCATATTTTCTTTTGAACTCAACTCAGCCAATGTGAAACAGGAAGTGACATCAAAGGGGAAATTTTCTGGTCTTTGTTTATTGAGACAATATTAATTGAACTCTTTATTTTTTTTCTTCATCTCTCTTTGATAGTGACTCAAAATAATCTAAAGAAACATCCGATTCTTCTCTACAGTCTGTTGTCAGCTGTTGTAACGATGCTCTGGTCACACGCAGACATTCCCCTTTGACATCACTTCCTTTTTCTTCACATGGGAACATCTCAACAACTGTTCATCTCAGCAGCATGATTTTTTTTTGCAATATGTTATTAGTGTTATCTTTCAAAAAATGCAATAATATTAATAACATAAATTAGATGTCACAGGCACTTTAAAGACTGTTCTTGGAAAAAAGAACACATTTAAAAACATACTTTCAAATCTTGGATCTTTAATGGCTTCTGCAAGAGCTGTGCTCTGAGAGACCATGTGGAAATACTTGGGATGAAGTTTCCAAGTATAATCAAGACACAAACACATAACGTGCTGCTTTGTTTGAGGTCGACTATGACTTGACTCGTTTTGAATGATGTTTTTGTTTTTGCAAAGATCAAAATGACACACATTCACATGGGACATACTGAGGTCACAGTGGTTGAACTTGTACGTACATAAATAACTTACTGTAATATAAACTTAAAGAGGAAAATCTGTGGGGTAACTTAATGTTACCTTTAGCAAATTAACAAAAACACCACAGAAAGTTCCTAGTCTAGATGGTTAAAGTAACTAAAGTCCCTTCTCTGCTGTATGGCAACATATTTTCCTTATCTGCATTTAATTACAAATAGTGCAAGATTCAATAAAACTCCATTAATCACTTTGAACATGACTGATATTTACAACATGTGTTTCTGCAGTCGGCTTCACACAACTTTGAGGAATAGACCCAAAACTTAGAAGTTGCACTGAATGTACTGTTACAATGACCCAAAAAACAAAGCAACATTAAATGCTTTATGGCACTTTTCCTTAACTTTACCATCATAGTTTGAACGTAATGTAACAAAAATAGACTGATGTGGTTTGGTATATTTTAAGTACTAAAAAAATACAATCAGAACCCTGAAAGCTGTTTCTGCCATAGAGCAGTGGTTTGTGAGGATAGAGTGGTTCAGAGTTGGCAGACAGAAGCGTCACCTGCCACATCTTTGTGCTGTGTGAGGTAAAAATGCTGAAAGACTTCAAAGGCAGCTGCTTATTTTCCTACTCCGCCCAACATTTTTCAGTTTTCAGAGAAGGTTGGGTTGTCTGCCTCTTCATCCAAACTCACAATTTGTCTCTGATAAGACAGAAAATAACAAACTTTAGGATAAAGTATATTTACTAACAAATGATGTAAGCACCAAGACAAAGTGGTAAAAGTAAACTGCAGGTGTTGAAAGCTCATGTATCACAATGATTACAATATCAAATCAAATGGTTAAGAGCTGGCAGTTCAGGTACATGGCTGGTCCCATGTCAGTAGGGTATAACCCCTCCTCAGGCCTGGATACAAACAATGATTCAGTGTAAAAAGCTGTTGTATCCTCTCCTGAAGCAAAGAGATGTTGGAATTGGACCTCAAGGTTCAGTAGATCAGAACAAAACTAGAGCTGAGATCTGAGTTGATCCCACACAACCAGATCCAGAGACCTGACAAGCAACACCCAAGCATTGACCTGATTGACCTTCAGACCTAGGATGTCACTGATGTAGTGCTGTGCTGTCAGGGTTCCTTGCATCACTACCAGAGGTGACCTGAAATCAGACCATGGGGCTCGACCAGACCATGATGCCAGGATTAAGGCTGGTTTGACACCACCATAAAAACCATCCACAGCATTGCAGAACCAAAAGTCATTACCATAATCAGTACAACTCCACTCATCAGTCTACAGCCCCTTTTCTACACGTGTGCCTTTAAGTGGTTCTCATTAATTCGGTGTCAGCCAAATGTTTCTCCATTTCCACTTCCAAATACACTTTTGGATCCACCTCAGTGGTGGTTCCAGACAGATCAAACAGAGTATTGCACGCAAATGATTTTGACGTCAACAGATTGCCGAACGTGGATTGAATGAGCCAAGGCGGAACTTGCAAACTCCTCCTGGAGAGAGGTGCAAAACTTTGTATCTATTTTAGGAGATGAGCATACAGATTGAGCTTAACAGAGCAAACTGAACAAGCAGGTATACCAAGAGTTTTTGGTCAGCATTCATGTCAGCAGTTCATTCTCATGATGTAATTTAGCTTCCTACCACTAGTTGGCAGCTGTTTCCCACAGTCTTTGGCTCCTCTGCTCCTGGGGAGCCTGAGAGTATAATGCTAGCTGAAATGTTAGCATTGTGAGTAATATTAACATTAAGTACTGATGGCTGAATGACCTCAAACGTGGTAGTTCCAGCATTGAGCCAGTGAAAGATCTGTATGCCCTAGATGACACCACCTGACCTCATGTAAACCCACAATATGACCCATACCAAACTCCATCAAGTACCAGTTCTTTGCAAATCCAATCGTCCACATTCTTGGCACTGGTGTGAATGGATCAAATCATGTCCAAACTGTACCATTCCTTCTGGGTGCTTAACATTCATTTTAACAGTGCAAACGCTTATGATGAAAAAATACCAATTTTTTCTTCAATATACAGTACAATAAAAGAAAATTAGCACAAAATATCTTAGAAATAATAATTTAGACTTACTTTAGGATATGCATAACCATCAAAGCTTTGCCTCTTCCAAATGTGCACCTGGTCTTCAGTGGTTTTCTGATAAACAGGGTTATGAAAGTGAATTGTGTTGGTATTCTGCAACCTGTAGTTCCTCCAGAGCAGCACACCACCAACAGCAGCCAGGCAAACAATTGCTATTAAACAGAGATTCAAATAGAGATGAGTCAAGGTTACTACCTGTTATGCATAGAAATAGGAACCTAAGTAACAGCAGATCCTAAAAGCCTTGTACCCAGAGGTAAGACGAGGTAAAGCGCTATTGGTGTGGTGGAGGCAGTTGTCGGTATGACTGCAGCTACTGCAGGTGGAACACCTGGAAGGAAAAATAAGAAAGATGTAAGTTTATGATGCTTACAACTAGCACGAGTGTCTACTCAACAGTCAGTGAAACCAAAACAATAGGAAATTTTCAGAATTAACACTGCCAACTTGCTTTGAGAGGTGTCTGGAGCATTTGTGACAGTCTGCACAACTTTAGGCTTCTCCGGCTGAGGCAATGTCTTCTTTGGTAAAGGTGTGGTGGTCTTAACACGAGGCCTGGTGGTGGGCCACAATGGCTTTTTGGTGGTGCTTGTGATTACAGAAGGCACTGCAGTAGTGGTATAGACCTGTGGCCCTAATGTGGTCTTTGGTGTGGTTCTGGGTGGTACCGGTGACTGATGAGGAGGACGAGTAGATGAGGTTTCAGGCTCTATGGGAACAGCAGTGGTTGGTACAGCTGGTGAAATACAGAAAACAGAAAAGGAAATGTGAGTAGGTTTAAAATTAGCTCTATCATCCACCCATCTGTTTATATTCTTTACCTGTTTTCTACTTCATTTGAATAATAAATTGACATAATTTTACAATATCCTACTTAAAATTAATATTTTGTCCAGGGATGTTCACCCACCAGGTACACACGTCCTCATATCACTGGCTAGCATCATGTTATCTGGACAGACACAGGTATATTTTGGGGGACGACGGCCTACTTGAGGGGCAGGTAGGCACATGAATTCACAGCTGCTGTTGGACACCTGGCACCAATCTCGTCCTGCAACAGAAAGAGAACACTGCTTTAGTGCAGCCTTTTTAAAATGATGAAGTTGTTGGAAACATTCTCATGGTTTAGAAAAAATGTATTTTATAAATAGATACAAGTGTATTTGCAGTCAACAGATAAGCTATTAAGAAAAAACTTAGGGCTAATTATTAGCTGATGTAAGGTTTATAAGCACCATTGTTTTTAAAGAACTTTATTCTGGTACCTAATCACTTATTATCTTGGAAGTTGTAATTATTGCTAATAGTGTATTATCCCTGAAACACATTATATGCTTAGCGGGAAGGTTCACAATTTTTCTTGAAACATGAACTGCTTGGGTTACCTTTGCCACAATGTTGTACTGTGTCTTTATTCAAAAAAATGCTCATTTGTAACCACTTTTGTACCTTTGTGTCTTACCTAGTAATCCTAACCACCCTATACTCTTTTAACACTAAAATAGTGTTTGCTATAACTTTGGATCATTCTTTCATTTTATCTTAATTTCTATTTATTTATTTTTAATTTGTTGCCCCTACACAGTGATCGTAGCCACAACCCTAACCAAATTCTAACCACAGTTGTAATATCAGGTAAAAAGAGACTCCATAACAGATAGCAAACAGTTTGTGGCAGGTGGCTCCTTTTTGTTCTTTGTACACATAAAAATTTGAGTTGAAAGTGACCAAAGTGTCAAAAGTAAAAACAGGCAAAGAATCAACGTAACCAACATCCATCATAGACTATTAAACTGAAAACTTGTTCCTATTATTTGTACTTGGTAAAAACTGCAATTACAGTTTAGTTTTTATTCAGCTTTCACACCTCTTTCATCACAAAAGCATCCATAATCAAGGTAACAGTAATATTGGTTTTAAATTGAGAAACTGTTAGACAGAATCTATCATGAACAGAGAAGTGAAGAATAAAGAAAAAACAAAAAAGCTGATAGATACACTCTTCTAATGCCTCGGTGTCAAAGAAAAATACTTTGCTGTCATTGATGGTAAATACTTATATAAATTTTAATTTAATGAGTATTTTAGAGAGCAATAATATAATATTTAGTGGTATAACTCTCTTACCAGCAGGTTGTTTGAGATTATGGTACAGAATGATGTCCTCTGGTGATGACAGGTGCTCTGCCACCGGTGCAACGTCCTCACCAGTCAGCCTGTTAGCGCTGAGGATGGCATTGTTACTAACATCGGTCCAGAACACTCTTTCCTGAGAAAAACAAACAAAAACAAACAAAAAAACCATCAAAGCTTGAACATTTTAAATGTTGAAGAAAGAAAAGTTGATTTGAGAAGTTTTAGGTTCATGTATACCTCGAATACAGTTAGGCCCAGTGGGTGGGCCAACTGGTGCTCGTCAATGATGAGTGTATGGCGACTATCACCCTGAACATCAATACTGGAGAGCGTGTGCAGCTTGGAGTCCACCCAGTACAGCCGCTGGCTTAGTATGTCTGGAGAGGAGGTAAATGGGGTTGTAATGAAGGTTGGGAGAGTAGGAAGTTGGGTGGGGGAATAATTAGACCAGAGTCACCATTAGTAAGTGTGCACACACAAATAAAACAAGGTAAAAGCAGAAGGTCATAAATGATTGTATTTACCTAATGTGATGCCATTAGGCCACACAATGTTGTCAATGACCAGAGCGGTACGATCCACTCCATTAAGACCTCCCTTCTCAATCTTTGCTGGGTTTCCCCAGTCAGTCCAATACATGAAGCTGTTGGGTTTAAAATAATGTAAATTAAAACCCCTCAATGCACTGACCCATGTGGATTGTACAAACGTAAAGAAAACCTCTGCCGTTAGCTTACTTGCTGTGAGGGTCGACCACAACAGCGCGGGGCTTCGACAGGTTTTGGTGGAAGAGAGTTTTGCGGCGACTACCATCAGCGGTTACARCAGAGATAGTCCTACGGATGCTGTCAGTCCAGTACAGGTGACCATGAATCCAATCAAATGCGATTCCTTCAGGAGCATCAATGTCATTATCTATTACTACGTGATGATGAGAGGCATCCTCAGCCAAGTCCATCAAAGTTCTGGATCGAAGGTTAAAACAATTATCAAACAAGAAGAACAACAAGGTATTTTAACTTCATTCTAAACTCCATTCTTAACTTTACCTATAGATTTTTTTCTGGGATATGTCGGACCAGAAGATCTCTTTGGTGGCCATGTTCATGTCGAGAGCAACCACGTTTTTCAGACGAGGAATTACTCTTGTGTATTCACTTTTGTCCAAAGTCATCTTCCTGACTTCATGACGGTTTGTGAAGAAAAGGTAAGCTATTGTACCTTCAAAAATACAGTGAAAAGGTTTGACATGTTTATAAATATTCTAAATAGATTTGCTGTAAGTTTTTTTATCTTAGTGAAAAACTGAAGCAAGACATCCAAAAATTATTATGTACTGAAATTTGATGTGACACTTACGACAGGTGCAAAATTGCAGCAAATGGCAAAACACATTGTAAACACATGAATGAAAACTCACAAACAAAAAACAAATTCAACAGAAAAACACACAAAAAAATGCTGCAATCACAAAAACAACTGCAAGAAATGCTGCAAACTCCAAAAAGGAAGTCCACCAAACCACAAAGGCACAAAACCACCGAGTCATAAAGCACCAGAGCCTCAGTTAAAACATTACACAGCTATACTGTTTCCAATGGGAAGTGGGAATTTCCAACATATGAGTGGTAAATTTAAAAGTGGTAATTCCCACTCAGAAAGTGGTCCAACTCTGACTACCCCCAGTTTAAAATTCAAGATGGCGGCTACTCACCACAACAGTGAGTAAAACACTCTTAACTTTACTTTTAATAGTATTTCTGTATTTTTTATGTCACATTTAGTCAGTCATACATGTAGTACTTTTCATTAGATGACATGTTTAAATGCTGTTTCTATGCGGGAAATACCTTGTAGAGCTCAGTTATTGTTGTAACTGTTGTCAGTAGTTGTAAAATAAGGCAAGACAGCTACAGCATAAGGCAACTCAAAGTGTTTTACACAAACAAGCAAGCAGAAAAGAACAGTAAAAACATTGTTCGGTTTTTTTAACCTAGGAACTCAGAGAAACAACARCAACCCCGGCCGAACATTAATCAATGACAACAGAGACCAGTAAGATTTATAGATTCACTTTGCAAAGGAGAA